GTAGAGATTGCTTTTACTGGTTTATAGCCAGTATCCATAGGTGTACACACAGGATTGCAGTTCAACATATCATGTTTTTCAAGCAATTTTAAAATATATTGTTCTCGAGAGAGAATCATAAAATCTTCTTCCCATTCTATTTGTAAAGATAATAAATATTTGGGTATACCAAGAAATGTAACTTTAAAATTTTTCGCTAAAATATCTTCTATAACTTGTACTTTCTCTATGGTAGTTCCAAGAACTAGAATATCATCGACATAAGTAGCTACTATTTGCTGTTTATCTTTAGAGATAAATCGACATGAGTCTGCGCTTGACTAAATAAGATCAATTTTCTTTAGAATCCTGACCAAAACGGAGTTCCACTGCCTAGGTGCTTGTTTTAATCCGTATATGTTCTTTTGCAGGAAACATGTTCTCCCTGGTTCTGAGTTTACACCTTCTAGAATCTTCATATAAACTTCAAAATCAATAGGTCCATATAAAAAGGCGGTTTTAATGTCATATTGTCTGACTACTAAGTTTTTGTGAATGCAATGGGCCAGAAGAATTCTAATTGTTTCATATCGTATCACTGGCGAAAATGTTTCATCATAATCCATTTTTCAGACTCTGGTGAAGAAATTACTTCATTATAATTGGCCGGTTCATCTACAGCAATTTTGCAACTTTCATTACTATAGCGGGGTGGAGGCTTTACAAGTCTATTGCTGCGTCTGAGTTGAGAAGTTGATGGCAGGCACTCATCTTCATATTTATTTTCTTTTTTCTCCACAGGGTGATCTACCTGTTATTATTTTTTCATTATGATCATTTTGCTTATTTTCAATACAATTGTCTTTATTTAATTGTTTTGTTATAGGTGGAATAAAAATAAAATCTTTATTCCCTGTCCAAAAGCGATACCATCCAGGTTTTTTTGCCATAACCGACTAAACTGCCTTCTATTGTTCTCGGATGCAATGTATTTCCTGCCTTTCTCGATTCCTCAGAAATGTGTATATAAGCAGTGGCGGCTCGTTGGGTGGTTCACAGTGACCGAATATAGGTATGAGTACAGATGTCTGAAAAAATTTTTAATGTTTTAGAAAGTTTATAATATACCTTTCTAAAACACTGACAGATTTTTACCTATATCTGTACGGGGATCTTTATTCTGCTACTATGAACCCCCAAAATTTTGGTCACGAGCCGCCCCTGTATATAAGCTTTTTGTTCGATGCTCTCAAGTGTTCTATTTCTATTTTTTATTTTCATGAAACAATTCGTACGGTGTTTTCTTGGTAAAGGCATGGGGTAATATGTTTTTTGTATATACTGCATGTGCCACTGCTTCAGCCCAAAAACCATTCGAAAGCTTGGAGTCGATTAGACTTGTTCTAACCATTGTAACAATGGTACGATTTAACCTCTCAGCTAGTCAATTGGTTTCGTGAATTCTAGGGATAGATCTTTCTATTTCAAAACCACCGGAATTAAAAAATGTTTGCAAATTCTTATTCTTATTCTCCACCATTATCAAATTTAAATTTTTTTATTTCCTTTTCCATCTGTCTTTCCATTTTCTTTATGTATTCTTTTATTTTATTTTCCGCTTCAGCTTTATATCTCAAAAAATACATCTCTGTATAACGAGAGTATTCATCTATAAAATAAATGTAATATTATTTACCACCAAGTGATTCAGTGAATAAGATCCAACTATATCAGAATGAACTTTTTCCAAAATGTTTTTACAACTGGTACCTTGTTTTTTCGATATCTTTCTTGTCATTTTAGATCTTGAACATGCTACACAATCAATCGCAGTTGTTCGTTCTTTTGGCGGAACCTCAGGATCATTACCAACATCCTTAATGTCTTTAAATGAACTAATGGGAAAGTATCCCAGACGTCGATGCGAGACAGCAGAAGTTACATTTACAGATTTTAAGTAACTTCTTGAAATACGTTCTCCTTATTTTTTGATATGACCCATAGCGTTCTCTTTTGCATTGCCTTTCATAATAATTCCTTTCTATTTAATTACTTCCCACGACATTAGCAAGCATTTTTAATCTGGTGAAAACAGCACATCATGAAGAACTAGTCTTACTGAAGATCTATTTGTCAACAATGCATTTAACCGGACATTGCCTATATGAGTAGCCTGAATCTTTTTGTCGTTTCCTAGTCCTGAATAAGGACGTAGATAAGTAAAAGCATTTTTATTTCCAGACATATGTGTTGTGGCATAACTGTGTCAAAAATCCACTTATTTCCTAAGTTAAGTGATTGAACTGCTGGAAATACAATTTCGCCATCTTCTTCAGATTCCTCAACAAATCGAGCGATTTCTTGTTTATCTTTTTTCCTATTCCTGCAGTACTGTATTGAGTGACCCTTATACCATTTTTTCTTTTTTTTACAATATGAGCATTCTCTTAAAGAAGACGTATTTGATTTTAATTTATTTGTTTTTACCATAAGAGCCTGATTGTCTTCGGAGTGTGATGGTAAAAACATATTAGATGTGGTTAACTCCATTAATCTCATACAAATACTATTGTAAGTCAAGTTTAGTTTGGTCTTCAAATTATCAATAATGTTTTTAATTTCATCGGGTAAAGTGGTAAGAAACAAGGAGCCTTTTGCTTTAGTTGAAACAGCTAGAGGACGCAAGGCTGATTCTGTTGAGTCACTGGCTTCGTTTGGAGTTTTTGCTATTCTTTTAACTAATTGTGACCAAAGTATTAGCAATATGACTTACAATATCATGTTTAGATTTACATTTAATGCCAACAAAAGATTTAACTAAGGCGTGTAAGGAGTACTCATTTTTGATATTAAAAGTATCATTCAAGATTTTCCACATGTCTCAAGAATCAATAAAGCATGTAACTTGAGGAGTCGACATTAAATAAAATAAACGCTCTTGAGAGCGAGAGTCGCGCAATCTTCACATTTTTCTTCGTGTGCTTTCACAACTGCTTCGTAGTCTTTACTAGTAGGATCTGTTTTTGGTGGCTCCAACTTTGGATTTTTTTCTTCACCAGCAACAATATTATATAGATTATAGATTATAGATAGGCATACACTATTGTTTTCCATGAGACCCATATAATTTTTCCATTTTTGGGAACTTGTCCATTTGGAACTTCGATTTTGAATTATTTGTCAACAGTTTTCAAATTTCAAGATAATTGTTGATTTTCTTAAATCTCTTCTTGGAATATCTCTAATTACACTTTGTGCCTGGGCCCATAACTTGAAGAAACTATTTTAGGCAGATATATAGAAATATCCAAAGAAAATTAAAATTTGATATAACTTTAACAAAATCTTTATTCGTCAAATGTGACAATAATAATTTCAAAGTCATAATGATATAAAAATAAGTGAACTATATAAAATAAAGCAATGTAGATCTCAACATCCCGAAATTAGACGGTCATATTTTAACATCGTAATCTACATCCTAAAACAGGAGTAAAAATTTATATAAACATGGGTCTGAAAACGTTTTTTTTTTTTTCGAGATACAGGGTGTTAAAAATGAAGTCCTGATGACACACTTTTGTAAATAATTTCTAAACGTTTAAAGATAACTAATTGAAATTTCGTACAAATGCTTGCCTTCTTACGTTCTATTTAATGGAATAAACCCTAGTTAGCCTAAATTACATTTTTTTTGTAACAGAAAAAATCAGATAAATTCACAAAATTGTATATTAAAAAAAATACGAAATCAAATAACAGCAAATTACCACTGCGTTACATCGCCTTTTCGACTGATTACTGATTCGACACACCTTGACATAGTGTCATTTAATGTTTGACAGTCTTCTGCTGTAAAACTGTTCCAAATTTCTTGAAGACGGGTTCGCAATACTAGAACGGTTCTTGCGGGATTTGATCTGAGCTTTTTTCCTGATATGCCACAACGTTTCAATAGGCGATAGATCTGGGCTTATTGACGTCTATTTTAAAAGAGGAATACTGTAGACAACGTCTTCCTACCGGATCCGCTAGTTTTTAATAAATATGAATGACCCTATATCGTGAGCAATAATAAACTTATTTTGTATTTTACACTCCTACTGTATAATAAAGGCATTAGTCTAATTTTGAGTACTCCTCAGACATTTGCATTAATTAAATTATTTATTTACTCTTAAAGAACTTTTGAAATTTGGAAACTATTTGCATCGGAAACTTTTCTTATCAACTGAACCTCCAAACTATTCACATATCCGCAGCCTGTTTTAAAATTATAACATAAACATGTAAGAACACGCACATCTAAGAAAAATCAATTAAAGCAACGGAAATCTAGGTCATTTAACTGAAAGTGGTGACGATATAAAATAGTTTCTTAATTCCAATTCCACTTCAAACTTATACCATATTTGTTTATATTAAAAACTAAAAGCAGTTGAAACTACGTTTCAAAGATTTAATTTTTTCTGTTTTGAGGATTAAAAACCATATTATAACACACAAAAATAGAACATACCTAATGTTGATTAATCAATTTATGCGATTATCTTTTAAAGTCTTTCATTTGACTGTAAAATGTGGCATGTCGTGTTTTTTGCTTACTATTTGTAATTGGGTACAGGCGAAAGGAGTGAATATTATCTATGTTCAGGAGTGCAAGCTATCGTGCAACCTGTCAAATTCAAAGTAAGCTTGCTTGTCTATGGATTTTTCGTTTTTGCTGGCAATGAAATAACATGAGGTAAGTGAGCCAAATATTGCCACCTTAACGTTTGGTTGTATATAAATCCTATATTTTTTTTAATAATTGAATACAAATTTGGGTACGAGAAAATAAATGCATTGTTTTTGACATTTATTTTAATAATATCAAAATACTTTACAGAACGTTTCTTTTACGTTTCTTTTTTTGTACTGCTCGTTGCTTTTCTGTCAACTTTGGTTGTCAATTTTGATGATGAGAATACATTTTTGGTAACTTGCTGAGCTTTACTGTTCAAAGCTGGTTTCCTCTTTACCGTGGGTGCTTTAATTTCTGGAGTAACCAGCAATCCTGTATCTTTAAACAACTTTTTTAAGCACTTGGAGTCTGAAATTGAAGTCATAATCTGATTAGATTTCGGATTAGACATTGTGATTTCTTTTGTAACTACATTGTCTTTTTGTTTATTTTTTAATTCAGTTGGTGGAATTTTATCTACATCGCTGCTTTCATAGTAGTTTTGACGTCAAATTTCTTAATCTGTTTGTTGTTGTTGTTAACTTTTCTAACATGACAGGTTTTTTCTTCTAACTTATCAAGGGTTCATCTTCATTAGAGATATCGTCAAGTGAATCATCTTGAAGACTAAAATCCGATGATAATTCGCTATTTAAGGAAACGAAACGCTTATTTTTTTAATCAGTTTTTTTTGGCACTTTATATCCGCTTGTACTCGTTTTGTTTGTATCTGCGGGTTCAGTCGACTTGTTGGTACTTTAAATGACAACTGATCCATCTTGGGAATTACTATGGTTTACTTTATCTTCTTCTCTGTAAGTAATCAAACTTGGTGGAAAAGCAGCTTCATTTATAGCTTCGGATCTAATTGGATATATCCCGGTGGCTGTAAAACCGGAAATATTATTTGATGGTGTAATTGCTTTTAACCAAACGGGAGTAAATATTTCTTCAATTATCATTTTTGTAATTGCCTTGCTAGGGCTTATTGTTAAAAAATGCAGAATATTTTGATCCCAAAACGTCTCAAAGCTTCTAAACACTGCTTTACCCATTGGTTGAAGCTAATGCGATGTATTGCTGGAAAGACAAAATCAAGTAATGCCCATGCGCTCAGCGGCATCTACTATGGAAATATTAAGGGAATTTTAGCCCCATCAAATATTAGTAGAGTGGGAACAGGATGTTTAAATGAAAAAAAAAAAAAAATGGTCAAGCCGCAAAACAAATGGTTCACATGTCATACTACCTTTATTTGTGACAATAGCTTTTGAGCGAGTGATCAGACCATTTAGGTTTTAATCTTTGGCCTTTAAAAAGCACAAATGGTGGTATAGATTGACCAAGCGCATTTTCACAAATTACAATTGACACATTTTCTTCGTGCTCGGGTGCGGTTAAATGAACCCGTGTGGCTCCCTTTTTAGCAAAAACAATTTTTTGCTTATAGATTGCCAATCTGCATCCTTTTTCTTCCATATTATATATGTTACATGGTTTGTCAAATAACTTTTGGATGGTTTCACTCAACTTACGAAAGTAGTTATCAACGATTGTTTTATTCATTTTTTGAGATCGTGCCATATTCATTTGTTAAGCTCTTCGTCTTGATACGTTTGGATGTCTTGCAAGAATAATTTCAGCCATTTTCTACCAGCCCGATTCGACACTTTAGAAAATGGATTAGATATCTGATTTGTTGTAGCGTAAGAAAATACACTTTTCATTAAAATCTTACTTGTAATAGGCATTCCTGCCTCTGCTAATCTCTGAATACTTCCGACAAGATAATTTTCTTGTGCTGCAGACAATACTGGGGACTTTTCAAGCTTTTTAAGGATTTTCTGTTCTATGATGAAGGTTTAGTGTGGAGAGAGGAATATTGTATTGCTTGGCAGCACCGCTGGTGGACATTCCATTCGCTATGGCTTGCAAAGCCGAGCGTATGTCTTCTTCTAATCACTGAGCTCGATTTCTTGGCATTCTGCAAATGAGTTTAACATTTAGTTCTTAAAATTGCCATAGTTTCCTAATGTTGCTATTGGCAATATTAGGAGTAATTTGTGATGGCAATATTAGGAACAAATAACGTTCAGAAAAAAAATGCCTTAACCTAGACATGCATTTGAAATAATTCATAAAATAATTCATGCAATAATTCATAAAACAAGAACTTTTGGAGTGAACTTACCCGTAATTAATTAGAAAAATTCAGAAAATGTAATTTTAATTTGCATAGTCAACTTGAAAAGTAAGTTTGCTTATAACGCGAATGAGAAAAACAAATGGCGTGCTATTACGTCTAGCGTTTGGCATGAACTAAAACAGGGTAGCCAGCTCCCCTGTAAATAGTTGGTAACAAGTTTGTTTGACCTCGACAGTGGCGCGCTGAGCGCGTTATGATGAACTATAATTCGGTACAGTCGGTAAAGTAGAAAACTACTAAGTAAAGCGATTTAAAAAATGGCGGGATTCAAAATTTATGAAATTTGAAGTCATTTCAAGGAACATTTTCCTATTTTACAGCTTTTACTTACAATAATTGAAACAATCAATAAGTAAAATGAATTTTTATTGTAAGTAAATGCTGAAAAACGGAAAATGTCACTTGTTATAAATGAAGAATAAAAACATTTGTAATAAGTTTATTTTATTTGGAATAGGTAACTATGTCATTACATTAAACATCATATTCACAATAAACACACACAAAATTAATGCAGAATAAAAATGTAGGATAACTGGATACAATTTTCAAAAAACACAACGAACATTTTCAAATAATTAAAAACAACACATACCTATAAATACCACAATTGTTTTAAATATCTCTAATAATAATAATAATTTATTAATACACAACAGATAGGTAATTTTTCAGTGAATACATATAAAATAGTTTATATTTGCCATTAATTTGATATAAAAATGTAACATCTACATTTAAATTTGAAACAATTTAAAATTTAACATCAAATCATAATACCTATATTATCTGTTTTTAATTTAAAAAACAGGGCTAATACTGGAATGTAGGTATTAATTTACCTAAGTAAATCAATTTTCCCTGAACTATTTAATTTTTGTTTTTAGTATTTGCTAACTAGGTATAATGTATTTTATATGTGAAATTTAAATACTGTGATGTCTGATTTACAAAAATTTGAAATTATTCAGTCTAAATCTCTGTCAACTAAATTTTAATGATCGGCTTAGTCAAGTAATTTTTTTTTTCAGCCTCCTATATCCCCATAGCCGTCCAACGCCTCCTTTTTATTTAAACAACAAACAACAACAAAACTTAATATAACACTCTTAAAAACTATATCTTAATTCAATCAGTACAAACCCTGTTAAAAATATTTTTAATACCTAGTATCACAGAACAGTAAAAAGATATTTTTAAACAATTTAAAACTTACAACTAATATCTATAACTTTGAAAGTTTTATATAATACCTAATATCACACTGAAAAACTTAAAGAAAAACGAGAAGTTCAATTTACTTATTGTAATAATATTAATAATGTTTATTCGTCCTGTTAAACATAATAAAAAAGTATAAGATAAGTCTGGTTTACTCAGTCTAAAATTTACAATTAAAAATTACTTTAAATAATAGGGATAAGGTTAGCTAAAATTACAAAATAATAAAAAAAGACAAACAATAGCAAGATATAAACATTTAAGTAGTTTTTTCTTACATATATTTAGCAACAGTGTTGTAACATCTACTTTTTAATTGCATTTTTAAATTGAAAATTGTTCAAGGGATTGAAGTTAATTTAAAAATATACGTTTACACTAATCACGATTATTATTGTTATTAATATTATTATTATTATTATTATTATTTTATATCTATAAAATTACCTAATATCACAAAATTACACATAATCACAAAAAGTACACATTAAAAATAAATTGAGTTTACTACATGAAAAAGCTCTATTGGGTGTTCCAGTGCCAGAGTTGCAAAAAAACAATTAATTGAGTAAGTTGAGATCAAAGTTTGAGAAAAATTTAAAAATAGTCACTTGTCAAATAAGTATTTAATTTTGTCATGAACTACATAATTTTAAGGAATAGGTAACTTTGGCATGCATAGAAATGATTTTAAAACAATAAACAAAGACCAGTTGTTTTGAAATTTTGTTGGTTAGGCAACTCTGGCACTAAACCACTTTACTATCCCTTTACCCATCTATTTCGGTTCATTGTAGTTGCAATATCCATTCCAAAAATCTCCATACTCAGGAATAACTAAAACAAAAAAAAATAAAGGCGCAGTGTGTATCTTAAAACTAAAAATTAACAGAGATATTACTTTTTTAAATTCTTAGAAATATCCTTATAATATTTTCTTACAATAATGGTACAGTGATTTTCAATAATTTCAAAAAAACATCTGATTTATGCTCTCGGCAAGTGAACCATGCAAAATTAACATGTTCGTGTAAATATAAAATTAGTTTTTGAAAAATGCGTTCTATATGTCCATATTTGGGTAGAATTTGATAAATACAATCATGAATAGTAGTAGCAGTAGTATTTTTAGATTTTAATAAACTATTTTTTAATCTTGAAATTTTGTTTCGCTGCTCTCGATTAATATAATAAAATTTTTTCTTTATAGGAGTTAAATTACCAATTCTAGTTGCATTAATTTGATTTAAAATACCAGTTCTTACACGTGGTTTCTTTATTAAAGGTTCCTCAACACATTCAATTCTATCATTAAAAAATTCTAGCTTTCTTTTAGCTGAAGTTATATTCGAAACAGAAGGTTTAATCAAAACATTACTAATTACATTTATTTTTGCAAGCGAATTGGATGAAGGCAGCTCTGAAAAATTTTCATCTAATGTAATATTATTAGTAGTAATATTCTCTTCTAAAGGCGCTAAAGGCAAGGCAAATTTAATGAGCTTAGTATGCAAAGTGCTGGTAAAGGCATTCTCGTCAAAATGATCCTCGCACAATAGTTTTTTTTAGATGTGTAGGGAATATTTAAAATATCAAACCATTTCTCTCTAAGGGTAATAATGGACGGAAAAGTAAAAAATTTCTTATTAAGTGAATGTAAATAATATTTGCTTCTGCAATTTGGAGCAGCACATGATAATGTAAATTTATTATAAGTTAATGACATCGTTAAGGACCTCAGTATATTTTTACACCTATAAATTACTTAAATCTAACTAAAACTAAATTAAAAATAAGATTAATTAAATTTTACTCACCTACATTTTCCGCGACTGTCATGTTTTAGTGTAACATAACCTAATTTATTAGCAAAGCCAGATTTACACCACCTCATAATATTCAAATGTAGCTTTAACTTTATAAATTTATAACAATTATCCCTGTATTTGATCATTATATTGTATTAAAGTGATATTTAAAAGATT